CCCCAACTTCCGCAATGGAGTGTGAAAGCACATCCATAAAGAGAACCGCTTCACAGCGATCCCCCCCCCTCGCCGTCGGAGGACGACCTTCTCAGGACGTCTGATTCCGACGAATCCACCAACTCATTTCATACGGTGAGAAGCCGCAAGAAGCGTCGTTAGCCGCGCTCCCCTAGAGCAAGTGCGGACGCTTCCTCGGACAACGTCCCTCCCAAGCCCCGCCGGGCGGGGTGTCCTCGGTAAGCAATACCGCCGAGAAAACCTCCTTCGGCCCAAACCTTACCAGAGGCAATACCGCTCGGGAGAATACTCCTAGTATTACTCCCTCCCTCACCCCGCTGCGGCCGCATAATAAATGCGCTCCGCAGCCGGGTAAACCCAAACCCCCGCCTCCCGTATTTATACGGGACAAATCAAGGTGGGCAGAGATCTCGAATCTCTGCACATCCAACAAGATAAACTACACCCATGCCAAAAACATGGGTATAGCTATCCGGGTGGAAACACCCACTAGTAAGGATTATAGGTTACCATACCTACGCTCTCCCAGAGGAGCGTAAAGTTCGTGCGGTTCTGAGAAATGTTCCGTACGAACTCGCCACCGATCTGATCCATAAGGATCTAAAAGAACAAGGCTTCCCTGTGGAGTCTGTTCATAAAATGCATAGTAGAGTTGGCAGGCCTTCCCTCTGGCTCTACTCATCATTCCAAATGTCCCTAACGCTCGTGACATTTTTAAGGCTAAAGACCTTAGGGTCTGCGGCCTTACCGGGGTTAAAGTAGAACCCCCTCACTGAAGTGGTACCCCGGGACAGTGCCACCGATGCCAGCTTTACGGGCATACGGCGGCCTACTGTTCCGCGACTCCCGAGGTGCGTAAAGTGCCTCGAGTCACATCCCACAAAGGAGTGCTCTCGAACTCGAGACACTATCACCCCTCCAGCCTGTGTACTGTGTCCAAATCGGCCACACAGCCAACTATAAAGGGTCTAAGAAGAAGGGTAAGGGCCCGGCGGTCAATAAAGCACCTAAAGCCCCAACAACTGCGGCGAACTTCCCCGCCTTACCAGAGGCGAATCACTCCGCTCCTAAATCGGCTTCACAACCGATATCCCCTCAGGATGTTACGGGCATCAAATAGCACCTTCTGGTGGTATGTGATGCTCCCCTCCCCGCCCTACACACGTCGACCCTTCAGGTCATACCCCCGTCCGATCTGGTTTTTTTTTTTATGGAATAGGGGGCAGTCGAGCAGGCGGATCACCTGATGGTGAGTGATTACCGCCGCCCATGGACACCTGCAACACCAGAGGAGCTACATGTGCGCTGCCGGCCTTTGAGGGACGAATAAGCTCTACGCTTGAAAGTTTGAAGGTCGTATCGGTCCGGAAATAACGCTGGCGACAAACTGTTCCAGAGTTTGGCTGTGCGAGGCAGAAAACTTCTAGAAAAACGCACAGTTGAGGACTTCCAACCATCCACATGATGGGCGTGGATTTCTTGTCGCGTGGAACGATGGCGGAAAGTAGCGGCAGGTATAAGTCCGAACAATTCCTCGGAGCATTCCCCGTAATAGATGCGATAGAAGATGCACAGTGAAATATTGCCTCGATCTATTAAGCACACCAAGCTTCTTAGATGCTAATTTAGCTTTATCCTCTAAGTGACCACGGAACTGGACCTCGCTCTATATGTCGACACCGAGAATCTCGATATTGGCTGAGGCAGTTAGGGGAATGTTTTGAAAGCGAGTTGATACGACAAAAGGGGCTTTTTGGCGGTGAACGCGCAAACCTGTGTCTTAGTAGGGTTGAAGTGGACCAAATTAAATCGACCCCAGTTAGAGACTTCCTCTAACGAAGATTCAATATCAGACACAAGTTGATTCCGGCTCTCAATGACGCTTTCCCGAGAAATATTAGCACGACCGTTATAGGTGGAGTCCTTCGTGCTGTCATCCGCATAACAATGAATACCGCTAATTTGCAGCATGTCATTAATATGCAGAAGAAAAAGTGTAGGTTATAGCACACATCCTTGGGGAACACCAGCATTTATAGACAGTAGGTCGGAGCATTCACCGTCGAAAAAATCGCTCCCCTTCAGGGAATCAGCTGTATTACAATCCGATGAGCCGAGCCCCCCGGGGTTAACGGCTAACATAACGATGTCACAATTCACGTAGGTGAATAGTGACGTCTGCGCCGCCCCCCCCCCCCCCTTCCTGCGGGGCGGCGGTCGCTCCGGTCGAAGGTTCGTTGCCTCCGCGCATGTAACCAGCTGTCCAAGGCGGTGTTTAGTCAGTAGGAGTCTGACATAACCTCACAGCCGGCTGTGTGGTATCCAATGAAGGATTCACCGCCTCCTTCCCCCCTTGGGAGGGTGATTCCGTACCCTAAGGTTAAGAGCCAAAAAAAAAGTACATTTTAACGACATAAGCTAATAATTGAGATGATAACTATCCTATCCGGTAAGTTAGATCAAAATACGGGTACATGTGAAATTTGATTGAAATCGGTTCAGTAATTCATATCCTGTCCCCGATAATAACTAAGATTCTGAATACTTCAATCTCATCTGGAGTTTTTCCCTCATCTTGGAAAGATGCAAACCTAATTTCTCTTCCAAAAAAGTCAAACCCATCCTCTTTTTCTGAATACCGTCCCATATCCATTCTCCCATTTCTCTCCAGTCTTTGAAAAACTTGTAAACCATCAGTTACTGGCTTTTCTTAATTCAAACCACCTTCTTAATCCATTTCAATCCGGCTTTCGTACTGGCCATAGCACTACTACTGCATTGGTGAAAATTACTGATGACATTCGACGAAGTATGGAAAATCGTCAGCTTACGTTGTTGACATTGTTAGATTTTAGCAATGCCTTCAATACGGTTGATTTTGACATCCTTCTCGGTGTAAACGCTTCTCTCAACATATATCCAGCTGCAATTGCCTGGTTTCGAAGTTACCTGCTAGGACGCCGGCAGAGGATCCGCATTGACGAATCCGTCTTTACGTGGTGCGATATCAAAGCCGGTGTTCCTCAGGGTGGCGTCTTATCTCCTATTCTCTTCTCTATATTTATTAATTCCATTACTGATTTGCTTTCTTGTTCCTATCACCTATATGCAGATGACCTTCAAATTTATACTCAAGCGCCTTTTTCGCACTTATCAGAGGCAGTCTCAGTAATAAACTCTGACCTGTCTCGCATTAGTAAATGGAGTGATTCATACGATCTTACTGTGAACCCCTCTAAAACTCAAGTGATTCTAATTGGCAGTTCTCATTTCACTTCTAGGGTTAGTCCTGAGTTACTACCTTCAGTAATTTTTAACGGTATTGTAATTCCCTATTCAAAAACTGTTGGAAACCTTGGCGTCATCTTCGATCAAAATCTTTCATGGAAGCCGCAAGTAGAGGCCGTTAGAAAAAAGGTATTTGCCACGTACTATTCACTTAATAGACTACGCAACTTTTTGCCTACTAGTACTAAAGTCTCTTTAGCTCATTCGTTATTGTTACCGATCATAGACTACGCTGATGTTTGCTACACGGATCTATCAGAGGAACTTCTCAACAAATGAGAGCGTCTGCAGAACATTTGTATCCGATTTATTTTCAACCTTCGTAAATTTGACTATGTGTCGAATTTTCGTTCCAGATTATCTTGGCTCCCTATTCGCCGGCGCAGGGACTTACACACTTTAAAGTTACTATATTCTATACTTTTCCTACCTTCCTCTCCACACTATCTCAAACAATGTTTCTCTTTCCGTTCTTCTTCGTCACTGAGTTCTTTGCGATCCTCACCGAACCTCACTTTGGACATCCCGCGTCATAGTTCCGATTTCTTCTCCTATTCCTTTTCTGTACATGCTGTGCGTTTATGGAATTCTCTCCCGGAGGATGTCAGGCACACTCGCTCACTTAATTCTTTCGGCGATCGAGTTGAAAGCTATTTCCTTTCTCTATGTTAATACTATTTACTTATACTTTTTTATTTAATATGCAAAGATATATCTCATCATATCCTTCTGACCGTTGCACCCAATACCCCATATTTTCCCTTTCCTTTTATTATACTCTTCCATGGGTTGCCTGGAAGAGATTGCTGTTTAGCAATAAGGCCGCCTTTTGTGTACTTTGTATTGTTTTACTGTGTAATTTCTTTCTGTTTTCCTGTCTGTATGTGTGCAATAAAGATAATATGATTATGATTATTATTATTAGTTTAGCAGTTTATTGGCAACATACATCGTGACACAATTTTTTATATATAAGATATTATATATCACTTACATATTTTATAGTTTCTTTATTTAATAATGTCGGGGACGTATATACCTAAGTGTATTATATTTAAAATTAATTATATTTTATTTTATAGCACTGTTCCCATAATTACATATCACTATATAGTTCGTTTTATATACGTTACACTCATATGTAATAGGTATTTAGAGTTAAAATTTTCATTTTATATTTATTTTATTGCTATGGGCACTCGGCCATGTACGGCGGACGCGACCGCCTGACGGCGGCATATTTTTTTTTTTTTTCAAAAATTCTATACTCATATTATACGAAAGACTTGATTGTTTATTTGTTTGCATTGGAGAGGCTTCCAATTAACAACCCTTTCATCTACGGGAAGCTACATAATACGCGTTGGACGTAGGCTAAAATTTACCAGACGAAGTCGTCCATATCCGAGCATGTAGATTTATTGAGCATTCACCGTGAGTACAGTGCAACTATTTGTCTTTAACTTCTCCTTGTTGACGTGAGTCTGCACCACGTAACTAAAAAAACTACATATCATTTCAATATTTATGTGATATATAGCGAAAAGCGTATTTCGTTTTGTTATAAGGGGCCGTCCATAAATTACGTCACACAAAATTCATGATTTTTAAACTTAAATCAAATTCTTAAATCAGCATTTTTATTGTAATACTAAAAAACGATGCATGCTATGATCCACAATAAATAAAAAATAGCACCACTTATTACACACTCTTTAAATAAGCCATTACAATGAATACAAAATATATTTAGGTAGCTCTAAAAAGTTCATAAAATAACAATTTGAATTTTCACAAATCTAATCTAATGTATGTTTTAAATAACATTACATTTAATCATCTCTCTTAAATACTCCTATGTCAGCCCTTCTCTCTTCTTCCATTCACTTTTTAATAGTGCCATCTTTTTCTTCTTGTATTCATTGCGTTTCATCTTTTTTTCTTCTTGCCTTTTCTTTTGTGCAATAACACTGTCTTCACCATTCAGCTGTCCATCTAATTTATCAATTAACATTTGCCTAGCAAGTTTTCTATTCTCATCTTGGCACCTACTGATGTGACATTTCACAACAATACCTAAAATCATTATATACTATGTTATAGATCAAAGATTACACAGAGACAATTTTAGGCAATTTTCAATAACTATTATGATGGAAGGCGATGTGGAATGTTTTTTTGACAATTGACATAAAACATTATTTGTGAAAATAATTGTCACAATTATGCATGCTACAGTATACATTTTCTTAACTTAAGTAGCTTTCCAACTGCATGGTCTTATATTATGCATATAAACCTTCCCATAATCAAAGTAAGGTAGGCACAACCCAATTAAGCAACATTTGGAAACTAATTTTCATGATATAACTCAATTATTACAACAAAAATTGTTAAAGATAATAATTGACCTTCTTGCTTACCATATAATCAATTAGCTTATTCAAATGTTCCTTAAGTTTCTTGTTATAAGCAGAGCCTAAGGTAAAGTAACTTGTAGATGGTATACAGAAAACAAAAATTTATAAGTATGATCACATGGTAGGTAGAAGTACAGAAATGCCACCAAAAATAAAAATGGTGGAATGTATAAAAAAAAGTTTTGCGATTTTGATTTGAAAATTGAAATGGTGTGCCATTGTTTCTTGAATTGACAGAATCATTAACAAATATTAAGTTCAATCTATGGTCCCAGTAAGTAATTATTTTAAGTAAAGAAAATAATATTAAATGAAATAAAACTGAAAATTTCTATAAATTAATTTTAAATGTCAGTACCTGTTGGTAAATGTGTCAGTACCACACAATTAGCATTTTTGTTCACAGCTGACCCGCCAGGGCCGCTACCTCTGATAAATTGTTCTGCCAAATCATATTCATTAATTCTTGGTACTTTACTGTAATCTATAGTATGTTTAAAAGCCTTTGACGTTAACATGAATGTTAAACGGACCTGTTTAACAAATGCCAACATTTTAGACTACTGCACCACGCCTGAGAAATGCTTTCCCTTTCTGTAAATACAAGAAATGACAAATAAATAACTGACAATGTTTTGTCAACTGTCTTTACTTATCCTATAATTATATCGACGCTAGAAAGCAAACACGTAGTAACCCGCAAAACCAAAATTGTTCTTCGGAGCAAAAAAAAACTTTTATTTCTTTCGATAAAAAATTCCTATAAATGTCAATGGTAACAAATAAAGTGTTCCTTAGTCAATATACACCGAAATAAGATATTTTTTTTTTTTGGGAAAATATAAAGATTTTCCACTCTAAATATGCATTTTGGTTTTGCGGGTTACTACGTGTTTGCTTTCCAGCGTCGATATATAAAAAAGACATTTGTCTTTTAAATCTCATAAAACAAGCGGAAAGATTTAAAGGTGTACACTTCTACATTATAACAATTAGTAGAATAATAGAATAGAATAGATTTGTCTAAACCATACCTACTACACAAAAAATGTCCAAAACCATACCTGATAGGCAAAATTAATATCTTCAGGTTCCGTCAAAATTTTATTTTTCTTGAACTCTTTAACAACTCTGTTTTTGAAATAGACTGGATCACTCAGAGAAAGAGATTTGGAATATCTCAAAATATTTTTATACAGCCGCAAAACTTCTGATCTGGCTACTGACATATCTAAAAAGATTTGTATTAAATTGTTATTATTCTAATCATGTTTTAATTGGTATTCTAATTGGTCAATAACCTACTTTTTAAGAAATTTTAAAAATACATTAGTACTTATTAAAAACTCCCTCACTCTGCCTTCACCATTTATTTCGGTCACAAACACAGACTTACTACTTACGTTAGTAGGGTCAGTGTTGCCACCTCAATTTTAGAAATGGGGCAGTTGAAGAAACTAAAAAGGGCTAGATCGGGCTGTCAACGTGAAATCGAATATGGTAGGGTGGACATGTCATTCCCTTGGGCTAGCTACATAGCCTACATATTAGTAATCTGTGGGCTAGATGGAGCCATGGAGCACAAATTACCAACAAAAAGCTTTTTATGAAGGACATGAGTGAAATTGTAATGCTTTTTTTTTACAGATGGCACTTGTTGTCTGATAATTAAGATAAATAATTTTTTATATATGTATTATTGGAATCTTGAGCTCGATAGATAATACTCCAGAGCTATCTGTATTTATTTTAGTAATAACAAAAAAAATAAACTTGCCGCGTAAAAGCTAAAAAAGACACATTTCCTAATGATTTCAATTATGTATTTATTTTTAGTTTGAATAACATAATAACATTTTTAAAATTATTCTATATAAAAAGTTTACAAATAAAAAAAATAGGTTAAAAATAATAAAGATGTATTTTTAAATTAAAATTCAACAAATCTAACCGGTTTAACATCTTAAAGTAATCATTAGCCAAAACAAAACAAGATTAAAGAGATTTAAAATTTAAAACATAAGTATTTATGTTGTTATGAACAAAAAAGCATTAACAAAAAATACCAATCATCATCATCATGAGCCGGAAGACGTCCACTGCTGAACATAGGCCTCGCGGCGTAGAAATGCGGTATATTTCCATAATCGAACAAATGGTATCAACGGATTATCTACAAACATCAATATCTATGACACAAATGTAAAAAGGGCTAAATAGCCCTTTTCGGGCTAAATAATTAAACAACGACTTCACCTACAATAAAAAGTGCTAGATCTAGCCCCAAAAGGGCTAAGGTGGCAACACTGAGTAGGGTCACAAACACAGACTTACTACTTACGTTAGTAGGGTCACAAACACCAATATATCACAAAAAAAATATTATGTAGGTACCGATTTCGATGTTTCCACAGACAAAGAAGAAATTATTATGTGTTTCGGTGATTTTAGTTAGGTGAAAACATGGAATTACTACTTATAACAGGACAGAGTACTCCCAGCTGAAAAACGAATCGAGCGAGATATCAAGTACAGAGGCTATTTAGCCCTTTCTAATAGGGCGACAATCATATTTTAATTAAGTGAGACTTTTCATATGGTTCAGTTTTTTAACTACTGCGGCTATTATCGTACAGAATAATCTTTTTACACTTTTTGTTGTAATACATATATTTTTATAATTCGTGTCGTCGAATCGCGCACTCTCATAATTTGTATAGAGAATCGCAAGTGTTTGTTTACTCATGGGATTTCACAATCTGTCTATATCGGTCACGGTAAAAGCAAGGATTAGGATACAGAAGAGGAAATAATATATACAAAAATAAAAGAAACAAAAAATACAACAGAACAAACATAGTTCTGGACCTAAAGATATGGCAAAAAGAATAAAGGAAGGACAAAAGAAAATAATAAATAAAATAGAAAATAAAGAAAACACCAAAGGAATAGAAACAAATAAGGACATAGAACAACAAATAAAGAAAACAGGCCAAGAAATAACCACAGAAATAACAAAAACAGTGGACACTGTCTTAACGGAATGTATGCAGGACTTGCATTACGCAACTACCTATGGCGGGGTCGCACAAGAAAACAACACCCCAATAATTAATCGGATAGACATCCTTGAAACGAATATAAAAGTAGAAATAAATGATAATAAGGAGAAGATAATAAAAAGAATGTCAGAAGAAACAACACACATTACAAGAAAACTCGAAAAGACCATAACCCAGGATGTCCAGAACAAATTACAAATTTCGACGACCAATACATATGCAAATATCACAAAAGGCCAAAAACACCAGGTGCCAAAAACATTACATTTGATCATTGTAACATCTAAAGACCGAATGGACACTGCAAGGCAAAGAAAATACTGAAGCCCGAGGAAACGTAATTAAAAAATTAAAGGATTCGAAAAGTCAAAGACGCGAGGGTTATAATTAGCTGCAAAAATGAAAATAAAACCCAGCTAATTAAGAGAAATAAGTGAAGAACTAGACGCACAAGAGGTTAAGAATTAGAACCCATTAGAAAAGAACGGATATAAAGTTTAAAATGACTGAACCAAGAGACAAAAACAGCCTCGAAAAACCAAAATCCAGATATCTTCATTGAAATCCAACCCGAGGAAGAAGATATAAAACTCAAATATAAACGCAGAACGAAAAACATAGAAAGATGCCATGTCATAGCTCAAGTATATCCAGTGATCTTGAAGAAAATGATGGACGTCTTTACATAGAAATGGAAAGGGTGAAGGTAGAAGATCAAACTCCCTTATAAAAGGCTCTAGATGCCTAAACTTTAGGCACGGTAAGAAATTTTGCCCGGACAGTGTAGACAGATGCAGTCACTGCGGAAGATTACACCTGCGGGCAGAATGCCCAAACAGAAAAGCAAGAATTTCCCCGCAGTGCTGCAACTGCACACACGCAGAATTATAAGAAACCCAACACAACGCCTTCAGTGGCGATTGTAAGATACGGGAGAAATGGGATAGCCTCGCCCGCTCCACAACATCACACGAATGAGGATAAACACAACCAAACAAGACAACACTACATAACATATACAACCGCACAAAACACAGAAAACACACACAAACAAAAAACTAAAATAAAAAACATACATACAGAACACAAAATAACACATAAACCAAAACGGTACGATGATTTGGAAAATAATGATGATCATTCCAACAAAACCATAAAACTGGGAACACAAATACAGAACATAGAAGGAAACATTGTGGTAATGAAAAATTATATGACAACATAAAATAAGTTAAGAAATATATAAATGTATATATAAATAAATAGAACATGACTAAATAGAAAATATAACTAAAAAGAAAGGAAAAGAAATAGGAACACTATATATATTATAGAATAAAATAAAACAAAATAAGACAAATTAGAAATAACAAACAAAAAATGGAATAAAAGAGGTATACAAAGTGTAATGGTAACATGGATAGAACATAAAAAGACAATGATGTATTAGAATAAGTAAATGTATTAGAATATAATTAACGGGTAGAAATAGTAAAAATGTTAAGTGTAAAATAAACAATAAGAGAATGTAACTAAAATAGAACATAAATAAGAAATAAATATTTAATATAGAATAAGACAGTGCATTAACTAATAAAATGATAATGTATCAGGACAAGTATTTACTTGTAATCCATTTGGATTAGAATACAATTAACAAGTAGAAATAGTAAAAATGTAAATAAATAAATAGAGAATGGAACCAAAACAGAACATAAATAAGAGATAAATATCTATTATAGAATAAGACAGTGTAACCACATAGGAATAAATAAAAAATATATATGTTGTTAAACCCCAATAAATAAAAAATAAAAGTAGAATAGAATAGAATAGGATCGGTAATTTCAACCGAAGGAATGAATGAGGATTAGGAAAAAAAGAAAGATCAGGAATGAGAAATGAAATAAGGTAAATGCGAGAACTGGAATGCAAGAATAAAATAGAGTAAGAAGGACCTGCTGACAAAAGTGGGGACAAATTAGAAGCTCGGCCACGTATTGTAAGGCCGGGCATATAAAAAAAAGCACTTGTATACATCGTACTCATCGTAATCGTACTTCTTGCGGTAAGTGTATGAGGACGCGAAGCTGAAAAGCCTTAAAGCAAAAAAGCACTGAACGCTGTGCAAGGGGGGTTTGCACAAAAGATAGCCAAAACATACAGAACATTCTCACTCAATTCCACCTTAATATTGCCGGGATTGCTTCCGTTGGACCTAAGGATCCAAGATGCATCCCGGCTTTATGAGACAAAGCGCGGGAAACCCCAGGCAGTACTAAGTGGTCGGAAAATTGAGGAGAGGGTATCTCTACTGGAATCGAACCACCCCGGCAGTATAATTATGATTGAGTCTGAATGTCTGGGGAACGCAAAAGAGGACGGTGAACTGTCAGAAAACTACGTGAGAGTGTACACAGACGGCTCAAAACTGGAGGGAAAAGTCGGTGCTGCCCAGACCTGCTAGAAGCGATCAGTGGAAATCGCTTCCCAAAAATTCAAATTACAGGCGTTCCTGTACAGTCTTCCAGGCCGAACTTTACGCCATCCTTCGAGCGACCGAAGTGATTATGAGCCCTAGGATTAAAATGCAAACCGCACCATGACGGTTGTCCCATCTCCTTTGTCAAAATTCATTCACGCAATTTGACAAAGCTAGAATGCGACAAACACTACAGAAGCGAGAGTACCGAGGCCTTGACGAAGGCTTTCTTTCCTAATGGAGAGCAAGCCTTCGGCGTCGTGCGAAAGATGAAGCAAGATTACTGCACAATTACTAACGGGGCATGGAGGTTTCCGATCTTACCTCCATGAATACAAATGTAGGGATATGTTGGTATTGTTAAATAGGGATAGTTTGTGTGAAATAATTTGATGTGATATAAATAAATTTATATTAATTTATTTATTATTAATTTATAATATATCGGGTTGGCACAAAAGTAATGAGACACTTGGTTTAAGTTTTTACTTTTTTATTATTATTACAATAAAAAAAGTTTAGTCAATGATGTAATTACCATTAGTATCTAAGACTTCTTGCCAACGATCCGGCAAAGTTTGGATGCCTTTTGCCCAGAACTCTGATGGCTGTGCGTCGAAAAAGTTGTTCAACTCCGCCTCTACGTCAGAGAAATCATTAAATTGTTTCGCAAATGCTGTTTCATGGCTCTAAACAAATGATAGTCTGATGGGGCGAGGTCTGGGGAATAAGGTGGGTGGGGTATCATGTCCCAGCCCAAGTTCTCCAACTGCCGGCGAACCACAGATGCGACGTGAGGTCGAGCGTTATCGTGCAGTAAAACTACATTGACTCGTCTTCGTCGTTTTTTCTTGATAGCGGCAGATAATTTGGTAAGCTGGGTTGAATATTTGTCAGCGTTTATAGTTTCATTGTGTAATAGCTCATAAAACAGTATGCCTTGCGCATCCCAGAAACAGCAAAGCAGAATTTTTCGGCGGTTCTTTTGACTCGGCTTCGGTTGAGTTGGTGGCGTTTCTTCTCGAGGCAGCCAAAAAGCACGACGTGTATCGTTCTTGTAATAAATCCATGATTCATCTCCAGTAACCAGATCTGACAAAAACTCTTTACGTCGGGGTCGCAGCAAAAGTGATTGACAGATAGCGACACGGACTGCACGACTGGCGTCTGTAAGAATGTGCGGTACCCACCGAGCCAAAACTTTTCGATAACCAAGCTCATGCAGATGGTGTTCCACGGCGTGGTGACTGCATTTAAGTGCTTCCGCTAATTCACGAGTGGTAGCATCCGGATTCAACTGCAGTTCGCGGCGCAAATCGTCATCATTCACTACGGGTGGTCGCCCTGAGCGTGGCTGACTTTCAAGGCTCCTGTCTCCTGATTTAAAACGGTCAAACCATCGGGACACCGTCGCATGGCTTGTACTTCCAGCGCCTAATGCATTGTTGATATTGTCAGCCTCAGCCCGCGCACTGTGGCCTAACAAGTACTCGTATAAGTATAGTGTTCGAACTTGTCGCTCGTCCATTTATCTTCAAACTGACTAATCTAATCGCGAGCGCGGCTTTATATACCCTACACCAGAAGTACCTAGAATGTTCTACAACATTCTAGAATATTATAGAAAAAAATTGATTTTAAAAAGGAAATGTTATAGATTTTTCTAGTGTGTCTCATTACTTTTGTGCCAACCCAATATATTTATTACGTTCATAACAATTCAATGCAATACAAATATTCTAATAAACATTTCTTTTGAAATTCAATATTAAACAAATAATCATTACATTACAAAAGAAAATGTTTTATGAAGTTTCCTAAGTCCAATTTTATCGTCGAAATTTTGTAACGAATTAAATTTCATTTCGTTTGTTGAAATATTTTTAAACCCTTTCTCAGTTACGACTAAATACAGCTAAATATTTTGCTTCACGTATCTGCCCCCAATAATTGAGACATTTTTGTCGCATTTCTTCATTTTTTTTTTAAATCTGTATCAATACTTTGCTATGGCTACACGATGATGTGTGTTGATGATGATGATAACATATTAAAAGACTACATGGTAAACATAGTTGCTTTATTTACAATGTTGTTGTTTTTATCTTAATCGTGAAAAAACATATTGCAATCACTACAAGATTCACTTGGAGAAACATAAACGCAACACTTTTCACAATTTTCACTGTTGGAATATAAAAGAAACTACTGAAATAAAAATACCAATGAGGAAAAAAGAAAGCACTAAAAAACACCTCACTAGATAAAAAAACCCGACCCTAGTAAAAGTAGATTTTTGCGAAACTAAGGTTTTTTTTAAATACTTCCTCATTAATAAATCAATATTTTTCACATCTCTAAATGTCACCATCACGTGACAGTTTTGTTGATAGAAAAAAAAATGGATTTCTTGGTTTGGTTTTATTTGTTTCTTGTTTTGTGAACAGTTGTGTTTTTGTGATTGTTTATAATTTAATGAATGTGTTAAAATTAATCAATGTTAATCTGTTATAAGTGATAATACATCATACGTTTATTCTTAGTATAATTTGTAAAACTCACACTAAGCAAAATGCTTAAATCTGACGCAAATATAAATCGAAACAGTGACATCATTTTTAACATCGACTTGATAACAATTAACATGATTCCATTAATTGAAAAGGATATTGATCCATGCGATTTAATATCTATCGTTTTTCTTCTTTACAACGTACCGGATACTGCATTACAACGGCTTAATATTTATCAAAGAGTTTCAAAAGATATATTAAATAATGACTCAAACCTATTACTTGATTGGGCACTACATGCACAAAGTCAGCCTAGTTGGAAAATGGAATTATTGGAAGCTTTACATACTTGTCAACTTTATTTTGTAATTCGAAAAATGGGGCTTCCAGTAGATGCTGTCAAAAGATACTATGAGAATACCAATGAAACTTTACTGAATCCAATGAAAAAAACATTATACAGATTGTGTGAGAATATGAATGTTGATAAACTTTATAAACTGAAGAAAACTTTATTAACATATAATATAGACACATCAGATTATGAAACATGTGAATTAGTGTTATTACATTTGATGTGTCAAAAATTTATCAGTATAAATATGAAATATGGTAAGTGGAATGGAAACATGGATATTGAAAGTCTAGCAAAAATTATTGATAACTTTGCTGACTTACACGTATTTGCATCTGAAATGAGAAGAATTGAGTTTAATGCAAATAATGTCAACACAACTATACAAAATTCTAATCAAATAGTAACAAGTACCCCACAAACATTAAAAACTGATGAAAAATTGCAAAATAATGAAAGCCACACTGGTTTTAATAATTTCAAAGAGATATTTGATATGTTTAATGATTTGAAATTAGAGGATATACCTGAACAAAATTTAAAGTCAGATAATAGAGCTCTTGGAAAAGATGCATATCAAATTATAAATCCTAAAGCTCCAGGAATATGTCTTATTATAAATCAAGAGAAATTTCACCCTTCTAAACAGAGCATCGAAAGTATGTCTCAAACAATACCATTAGAAAACAGAGATGGTTCAACACAAGATAAAGACAATTTGAGAGACACGATGAGCAAACTTAACTTTGAAGTTGTAGTACATGAAAATATTGATCATAATGAAATGATTGAGTGCATAAAATCTGTGATAAAATTTAAAGTTCATGAAAGACACAGCATGTTCATCTTATGTATTCTGTCACATGGAACAAAAGGACATGTTTATGCAGCTGATTCTGTGAAAATAAAGGTTGAAGATATTGAGAGTTTATTAGACTCGGATGATGCTATTCACCTCAGGAACAAGCCAAAGATAATGATATTACAAGCTTGTCAAACAAATGACAGTCAACCATTATACACCCCTTTAGTGGCTGATAGCCCTAAACCAAATTTTAAATACTATATAAGGAAATCTGACATATTAATATATTGGGCTACAGCTCCTAGCTATGAAGCATATAGAATTCCAACAATGGGTTCCATATTTATTCAAATGTTATGTGAGGCTATCAAAAAATATTCCAAGAAAGAACATCTCAATGATTTATTTACAATAGTAAATTATGCAATAAAAAGAATGTGTGTTAATCTAAAACGCGATCAGCTGCCTAAAGTAGAGCATACCTTAATAAAAAAATTGTATTTACAAATTCCAGAAAAGTAATTATATGAGAGTCTGCATAAAACTGGTAATTGATTGATTTAGTTGCAATGCAAAAGCTTTAAAAGATTTAGATAATTTATGTTTTGATTGTGATACTATTTGAATTTTAATATTTTTATGGAGTATATTTGTACTCCAATACATAATCACTTTCAAAATATATCCTAATGATTTTGTGATGCAATTTTTTACTTCTTGTGTATCAATAGTCTGTATAACTGAACAAAATATTGAAATACTAATGTAACATCCATTTAAGGTCACAGTTATGCAGCCCGAACTTAAATAAGGTTGAATGAATAAAATCTCATTTAGTAAATTTTTACCTTATTGAATGAAGATTTTAGGAATGAAGTATAATAAGATTAAACATTTTTAGGTACCTAGTTGAGCAATTATTTTTATATTTTGGAAACTGTAAAGATTTAAAACTTATATATTAAAGTAGTATTTATTGAACTGCTCCTTGGAACTCTAGGGCATCTCAAAGCATATGCTAAGGGCCCACAAAAATAGCAAATTTTTTATTATTGAAGGTAAATAAATTAATATGAATTTTTTCTTAAAACTCTTGTGTTAATATTTGAGTCCCTAAAAGGTTCCATCACCAAAGTTCGACTATTCAAACAACAGTTGACAATAATTATGTAACAATAACTATCCCGCTGTATTACCATGTATTTTTACTGTGCAATATATAATTATCTATTTTATTTTTGTTTTTTATTTACGTAAATATAGAACGGCCTTAAACCACTGAGCTACCCGGGACCTAACAGGAGTGACGAATTTTTGTTAGGTACTTTCCGCTGCTACACTAGCATCAGTGTTCAGGAAATTCGTCTCGTCAGGCAAAACTCTGTATAAAAGTATGTATTCGGAGTAATACAGATTATTACACACCGAAAATCTGTATAAATACGTAGAAATCTGTATATACGGCAATACTGCTGGTTGTTGTCACATAAAAATGAAGGTGAATTTGAAAAAATCACCTCTGATGTGAAAGAAATATAAATTGTTATAAGATACTCACAAAAAGAAGTGAAACCTCACTAAAAACATTTTCATGTAGTGTTGCAAAGCCAAATGTAGTGACTCGTATTGTCAAAAAGTTATCAGATCTCGCTGAGGCAAAATTCTAACTTCACAAAATCCTAATCCTACGAACCCTTACTTCCATATAAAGTATTCTTTGCTTACTTCACAAACTACACATTATTCAAAACATGTGGCTTTATCGTTCCATTTTTGCAAAAAAAATATGCTAGGTTTAAGAGAAAATTAATGAATGGTGAATAAATTTTTCTCCGTATTATTTGATGGTAACGGAATGGCCGAGCTATAATATTGTATTCTTTGGGCCGAGCCAAGGAACATATACTCTTGACGAGGGCCGAGCATAGGTAAATAATACCTTTTGATAGTGCGAGTCAGTTAGTCTTGGATTTGCAAAACTTTACATGAAATGTTTTTGGTGGGATTATATTTTTCAAAAGATATTATGTATCTTTTCATTTATATATTTTTTTATGTAACTAATACTTTTCATTTATATATTTAAAAAAAATATATCTTGTACTTGTTTTAGAGCTACGCAAACCATAGTACTCATTTTAATGCCGTATTACATGCGCACCTCTGTAGTTTGAGCAGTTTCTGGTAGGGAAATCCCGGATACAAGATTTACCTTTTGTATAGATTTGGATCGTGTCGTGCGTGTCTTCTTGTTTTTTATTACACAGCAGCAGATGCAGTGTGCTTAAAGGATTTCAGTGTTTTTGATACACAAAAATAAGTTTATTAATTTCCTAGGTGTCTTCCTAATGCATTTAGCCTTTATGAAAGTGTGGTGTGTTCGATAAGTGGAGAAAAGATGCAACGTAATTTAGAATTAATTATGCAAGTTGAAACTGTAAGTCTCGATACCGTGATGAATGTCGAAAAATACTTGGAGCCTGGTGAAATAATCTCTCTAATGTTTCTTTTGAATGAACCATGTGAAAAAACCTTAGAAATCCTGATCGCATATCAACGTGCTTCTAAAATTGAAGGAAACACTTCTAACATTTTACTGAATTGGGCAATAGAGACTAGTAAAAAGGAATCTTGGAAATGGTTATTCGTAGACGCACTCCTGACATGTCAACTCAATTCCGTTATAAAAAAAATGGGTATTGATATCCGTGGACTAAAAAAACATATATTATTGAACCAACAGGACTACATTGATCCAATAAAAAAACACATTTACAAAATATGTGAAAACATTAACAATAATTTATACATAAAAATTAAGAGAATTCTTTATGAAAATAACGATTTCCTTTTGGACGACCATGAAAGTTGTGAAATAGTTTTCTTGAAACTAATGTGTAAAAAAATTTTCACAATCTCTTCTGAGGATTTAAAATTGGAAGTCAATGTAAATAAATTAGTGAATGTTTTGGATCAAATACAGGAATTGCGCGAGTTATCTATTGAAATGAAATATTTGGCTACAGTTAATATCAATCCAAGTAAAGCTCTTTGTGATACTCCAAAAACTTCCTGCAAGCAAAAGGAAAGTACGGAAAAAAATGAAGACACGAAATTACACATTGATGATTTTGACGAAACTTTTACATTACTCAATCAAATATGGATAGAAGATATAAATTTAAAATTGAAATGTGACTGAAATAAAGTTTCATTTATAGATATTGTTTTATTTCTTAATTGTTTTTATAGCGGCAACAGAAATACATTATCAATTAAAATTTCAAATGTTTAACTATCACGGTTAATGAGATATAACCTGGTGACGGACGGACGGATAGGAGATTTACAATTACCCTTTAAAAAATCTAAACTGCAATAGCTTTCCAAAAAACTAACCTCAATAGTATTAAATAATACTTATCTCAAAAGCGACTTTTTCAAGATGCCATTGAAGCCGGGCGGAGGTTTTCTTTAGGTTACTAATTAAATGATAGGCGCCCAAGTTGTTTGCATTGGATAGGCTCCGAAACTATTCGGCGAATTTATAAGTCTTTCATCTACGGGAAACTACAGAATACGAAGGAAATAAGCTATAATTTACGCATGCGAAGTCGCGGGGCAACAGCTAGTTTGATAAAACGATGAAAATACCTACTTCCATAAAAATATACGTACTCTGAACATAAAAAATCCTTTCGGATTTTGATCGAATACAAAATAGGCATATTTTTAGCTTAAATAATATTAAATATTTAGGTGATGTCTGGTGAAAAATTGTATTAAAAAGCTTATTTTGTTATGTTATAAAACGAATACTGTTGATTCGATTTCGATACTATTTTAATGGGACCACCTCGGTCCAGTAAGAAGTTGAAATAAAAAAGAATTTAAAAAATTGCTCAACAATTGGCGGAAATATCAGTAAACATACATAAAAACCTAAATATCGATTTTGAAGTCGGTTGAAAATTACCGCGTCTTGGAACCAGCACTACATCTAATAAAATATCTTTGATTAAATACTTACTTGTTCTGAAGGGCACAATTTTTAATTTTTATTTTTTCTTGTGTTTTGCTAAATAAATTATTATTAAATTCTAAAATTAACGCAATTAAAATGGTAAGTATGTTTTGTAACACAATCACAACCCAATTTGATAAGCGGCCTAATTTTATTGTCCATTATAGTATAGATCAGTATACACCCCGTACGATTTTAATGTTATTTTGCACCCGGTAAAAATTTCGATCCATTTTTAGGATTATCCCCTTTTTACTTTAATCATTACAAAAATAGATTTTCATAGACGATCAACTTACTTTTATTCCTAGGCTCCGTGAGGCACATTAAAATGCTGCCATAAAAAATATCACATCTCCTATTTATGATATTAAGTGTAAATTAAAATGTACCTTAATCGTACATTATCGATGTAGCTAAAATGCGGCTATCAAGTTTACACAAACATATTTTTTACAGTGGAAAGTTGAAACTATTCAAATTGTGTATAGTTGACCTTAATATGATTTAGATATACTGACTATGACTGAAAAATAAATATTCAGTTATTTATTTTTATTAAATCTCAAATGTATTAATAATATTCAAACAAAATGATTCAATGGCCCTTTAAAAGTTAATAATTATTTTGTAAATTATGGCTTTTAGCTCGTGCTGTCTTAGTCATAGAATACAACATCTGAGTGATGTTATGATATTTCAATGATGTATTAAGTTACTTCATATCATTTTACTACTTTGACATGTAATTTAGTAACAATGAACGAACAATAAAAAATAATGACTTGATTTGATAGCTCATTGTACCAAACTCATTTATCCAAGATATTTCAAAATAATAACATAAACGAAATATTGTCATGTTATCGCTAAGATGTGGTATCATACAGCTAGAATAAAGGTTAGAGAGTTAAGCACCCCAGTATAATTCATCACAGGGTACCGGTAAGGATTAATCCAGTTAGCCTTTGAAGTAATTTTAGGTATTCAGGTTTTATGTTGACCCATTTTTTAAACTCATGCACAAAGGAGCCATTATCTTTACAGGTAACTTGCACATATCATGTAATTTGTAAATGTCAAGTATTTGTACTGCATTGGTAGTATGTATAGGATAAAGCATATTCTATATAATGAATTTATGCTGTTATATATACTTAAGATGGCAAAACAAAATTCAGTATATGCTTGTTTATTTATGTAATATTTTCAATATTAATTGCTACATCAGTTTTTGTAAAATCCATAACTGCTGATTCCAACTTCATTCTTTCTTCATCAGTTTTCAATTTAGACCACATAGAATCTAAGTAAGCTATTTGATGATTTTTTATAAACAGAAAACTATGTTTCAAAGTTGCACTCACATAAAGAGTGTTTAGCCTTACATCTAACTTATCAATCTTTGTAATAAAAGGAAGACTGCTTGTCACAAAACGATGTGGACCATGTCTTACTCGTATTATTGCTATTCTAGTATTTTCATTGCAATATTTTGTAATAAATCCGTTTCTGATGGATGCAATTCCAAAATCTCCATGGAGTTGTTGAACTTTGTTCAAAACAGTTTCATGAAATATTTTGGATTTGAGAGTAAGTGGCTTATGTTCCGGCACTAAAGGACATGTTATTTCAACGGTAATATATCTGTAAATAATAGTTAAACAATTTTATCATTATGAAAAAAGGATAACATATCATATAACCAACCGCCAACAATAAAAAATTGTTACCTATTTTTAAATCTAACCATTATATTGTTATATATAACGCAAAATAAAATACGGTTAACAAATAGTCTAAACGCAGTTATTAGTTGTTGTATTACAAAAAATCGTAAACAAAAAAAATCAAACTTGAAGAAGCAAACACGCCGCCACTATGACTTTTATATTTTTAAGGCAAAGGGAACTAGACTTATGCAGCGATTACACTTAGGGATTTCCGTGTAGTATTTTATGAATAAATATAATAAAATCTTTTATGGCAGAGAAAATTTAAATAAAAATAACTTAGCAACCAAAAACATAGTTTTCTCTATGACTGGACGTATCGGTATTAAACCTTTATTTTTAACACGCCTATATACCCATACGTCTTAAGCGCCGATTTCACTACCCAATTTATCGGGCCCGATCCATCGGATACACTGTAAAGCGCCGATTTCACTACCCAATTTATCAGGCACGATCTATCGGGTACACTGTAAATTGGGAAGTCTAATCGCTGTTAGAGAGTTAGGGTCCCGATATCGGGTGATCGTGAGCGCCCGACCGCCCGATCTCACTAGTTAGTGCGTTAGGGCCGATTTATCGGGCAATGTGATCGCTGTTAGGGTGTTAGAGCGCTCAGTCGGTTGTTGCGCAGTGTGCGTATGAGACGTCAGTGAACGACAACGAAATTTGCGAACAGAGAAAAATGTCTTCTCAAAAGGAAAAAGAAATAATGTTAAATGTAATTTAATATTATTTATTTTTCTTAGCCTTATATAATGTTTTTAACATTATAGATAGCTCTGCATGTGTCTGGTACAATTTGTGATAGAACAAAAGGAAAACTCTTTTATGTGTAAACCAATTTTTGATAAGTCGCTTCTTGCAAAGAGTGATAACTGGTTTATAGATTCCGGGGCTACAAGTCATATGACTAATAGACGTGATTGGCTACATGATACTAAACCTGTCACGAAAAGTATTAGAATAGCTAATGATCAAATAATTCTTTCAGATGCCATTGGTACTGTAAAACTAAACACTTCCAATATTACCGATGTTTTGCATGTTCCGAACCTCTCAACGAACCTGCTTTCAGTGAACTCATTGGTAAAGAAAGGGAATGTCGTACTTTTTTCGAAATCTGGAGGAAAAATTATTGATGGAGAAACGTGTAAGGTATTCGGAAAAGTTTTATGCACAGCCTCAAATATCAATGGTATGTACAAACTTGATTTACCTACTGCTCACGCGAATTTAACAGAAGTTAAAGAAAATTCAGCTGAATTATGGCACAAACGCCTTGGTCATCTGAACTTCAGATCTATGGAATTGCTTAGAAAAAACTTAGCTCTTGGTGTCAGGTATCCAAAGCCTGCTGGATCTATTAAAGATAATTGCATTGCTTGCGTGGAAGGTAAATTATCAAAGCAACCTTTCAAAAAGGTATTCTCTCAACTCCAAATAAAATAATAATATGTAAGATAAAAAGACTTATGTATTTTCTTGATAAATATTTTAAACAGAAAAGAAAAACAAACTGACAATGACAAAGAATATAAAGAGAAAAAAACAAAGTGGCCTATCAAAAGATATATGAAAGAAGGTTGGTGTGTAAACTAAATAGTTCCAACACTTCCCCTACTTCTGAATAAATTAATAGGCCATTATAAATGTTAAATTAAACCTAATCCTTTCGTTAAACACTGATGTCTTTGCTTCGATAGAAACTTGGTTAAGACATCTGCCTTCATTTCATTTGTCGGAATATATTGTATACCAATAATACCACTAGCAACAGTATCCCTAATAAAATTATGTCTAACATCAATGTGCTTTGTTCGTGAGTGATGAACGTTATTTTTTGTTAGCAGTTGAGCTCCCTGATTATCACTATAAATACAGACACTATTATCTAAACCAAACACTTCCTTCAATATGTTTTTGAGATATATGGATTCTTTTGCAGCATCACTAAGTGCCATATATTCGGCTTCGGTTGTTGACAAGGCGACCGTTCGTTGTTTACGTGATTCCCATGATATAGGTCCATTTAAATAAAATACATATCCAGTGTAGGATTTCCGGTCTTTTAAACATGCACCATAATCAGCATCAGTATAGCCCGTAAGAGTGAGTATATTTTTCTTCTGGAATCGGAGTTTAAGATGCATTGTCCCTTTTAAATATCGTAGAACTCTTTTTGCTGCATTCCAGTGAATTGTCCCATAATTAGAATTAAACTGGCTTAACACACTTACTGCATGTGTAATGTCTGGCCTAGTTCCTACAGATAGATACATAAGAGAACCAACCAGTCTTTGATAAGGCAAATGTTGAGCTGCTTCTTTATCTTCATTTGAAGGATTCACTAACTTTAAATTAGGATCAGCAGGTGTACTAGCCGGTTTTGCATCAGTCATAGCAAAATTATCTAGTACCTTTTTAATATATTCTTCTTGATCAATGGCTATACCATTTTCCTCTTTTGCGATTCTCATTCCTAAGAAATGTTTTAAGTTTCCTAAATCCTTGACCTTAAAAAATTGTTTAATATCCCTTTTAAAATTTTCTTTCATATCAGCATTATTACTGAGAATGCAAAAATCATCAACAAAGATTGCAACAATTAACATGCAAGTTTCATTAACTTTATAATATAGGCAATGATCATGTTCAGACCTTTTCATTCCAAGTTGCATCATTGCTTCGTTAAGTTTAAGGTTCCACTGTCTAGGCGCTTGTTTTAAACCATAAAGTGCTTTCTTTAACTGGCATACCTTCCCCTTGTTGCATTCTTTAGTGAAACCCTCAGGTTGTTCCATATATATTTCTTCATTTAGATCACCGTTAAGAAAAGCAGTTTCAACATCCATTTGATCCATTGTTATATTCCATTGTGCTGCGAAAGCAAGCAGTAATCTAACTGTTGAAAGGCGTGAAACGGGTGCGAATGTTTCGTCATAATCTACGCCGTAAGTTTGTGTAAAGCCTTTGGCTACTAATCGTGCCTTATAGCGTGTGTTTTCTCCGTTTTCATTTTTCTTTATTTTGAATACCCATTTACAACGGACTATTTTTCTATTTTTAGGTCTATCCACAAGGACCCAAGTTTTGTTAGTTACAAGTGAGTCATATTCACTTTGAAGAGCCTCTTGCCATTTATTTTTATCATCAGAACTAATGGCTTCCTTAAAAGTTGAAGGGATATCATCTTCTTCAGCTTTGTAGAGAACTATATCTTCTGACCACTTTTTCGGGATTCTGTTTCTCAATGGATATCTCCTAACAGGTTGAGAAACTTGATTGTTTGTACTATCCGAAATTTCAGTAACACTGTCATAAAATTCTTCTTCAGTGTCGTCATTTCCAGTTACCTGTGTGTGTGTTAAAGGTTCATTTTCGATATTGTTGATTTCTCCTTCAGTTAGTATATTTTCAGAATTTTCTGTAACTATAAAAGGTTCAGTAATAATGTTGTTGACTTCTCCTTCGTTTGGTATATTTTCAGAATTTTCTGTAACTATAATAGGGACGGATTCTGATACTTGAGTTCCAACTTTATCAACCATATTATTTTGATCACTTGACTGCGATTTGAATAAAAAATCATTTTCAAATAATTTTACATCTCTTGTCTTAATAAGAATTTTTGGATGTTCAGGATCAACTACTCTGTATCCCTTAGTTTCGGTGCAATAACCTACAAATATGCATAGTTTGGCCTTAGCATCAAATTTCTTTCGAAGAATTTTAGGTATGTGCGCATAAACTCTGCATCCAAATATACGAAGATGTGAAAGATCCACTTTTCTTCCTGTCCAGATTTCTTCAGGGGTTTTCCCTCTAATAGCCTTAGTCGGTGAGCGATTTTTCAAGTAAGTCGCTGTATTGATTGCTTCTCCCCAATAACTTTGAGGTAGAGCAGATTCTGAGAGCATAGATCTGGCTTTCTCTACTAAGGTTCTGTTGACTCTTTCAGCCAGGCCGTTTTGCTCTGGATTGTGAGGCACAGTCGTTTGGTGAACTATACCGGACTGTTTCAAAATTTCTTTCATTTCCGAATTCAAATATTCACCACCGTTGTCAGAACGTAGAATTTTAATCTTTTTGTCAGTTTGGTTCTCGGCTAAGCTTTTGAATTCGCGAAATTTTTCCACAACTTCTGATTTTTGTTTAATTAGGTAGGTAAATGTTTTTCTAGAAAAATCGTCAGTGAAAGTCACGAAATATGAAGCACCTCCCAAAGATTGGGTACTCATAAATCCGCAAACGTCACTGTGAATAATTTCCAACAAATTTGTCGATTTTGAATCTGACGTTTTGAAAGGTTGCTTTGATAATTTACCTTCCACGCAAGCAATGCAATTATCTTTAATAGATCCAGCAGGCTTTGGATACCTGACACCAAGAGCTAAGTTTTTTCTAAGCAATTCCATAGATCTGAAGTTCAGATGACCAAGGCGTTTGTGCCATAATTCAGCTGAATTTTCTTTAACTTCTGTTAAATTCGCGTGAGCAGTAGGTAAATCAAGTTTGTACATACCATTGATATTTGAGGCTGTGCATAAAACTTTTCCGAATACCTTACACGTTTCTCCATCAATAATTTTTCCTCCAGATTTCGAAAAAAGTACGACATTCCCTTTCTTTACCAATGAGTTCACTGAAAGCAGGTTCGTTGAGAGGTTCGGAACATGCAAAACATCGGTAATATTGGAAGTGTTTAGTTTTACAGTACCAATGGCATCTGAAAGAATTATTTGATCATTAGCTAGAGTTTGGCAAGCGAAACGTGACACCACCTATTTTTCCGTTTTCATATGGCAACAACATAGAACTGTCAGTTTGACACTACGTTAGACAATTCAAGAATATTGAATTTTGTTGTTTTTGCGAATTTGAACTTGTGTTTTTGGTTAAAAATTATGTCGAAGCCGATAAAAAGTTCATCGAGGAAACTTCTTTCCATCATGATTGACAAGTTTACTGAAGTGAAAACTGAATTAAATAAAAATTTCATGGAGAAATTACAACGATTAGATAAAGTTGTATCTTTTTTAGGTTAGTTTTGTATTATAATTTTGATACTTTCGTTTTAATTTTCTGTAATTAACTAAACAGATATTTTTTATAAAATATTGCTCTA